AGATACTGTGGGTGTGCTCAGCTCAAGTAATCTTATTCAGAACCCAAAGGTGCCTGCTGTGCTTTTTGTCTATCGAAAATCTATCATTTTCATTTATTTCCAGGAGTATGAAATAAAGAGAATTAGGAATAGGCAGAGCTTCAGGATTTTACGTATTTTGAACATACCATTATCTGTGAGAAGAGTTTTATAGGAACGCTTATTTATTGTGTAAAATGTATATTTTTTATGTTTTAGGCTTGTGGTTATTTTAGTTTATAGTGTTAGCCAAATTGGTCATGATTTTCTTTTTATTCTTCCATGTATTTTCCTAACCCTGTTAATATAAATTAAATTAGATAAAAATAAACCCCATAGCCAGTTGACGAGAAGGAAAAACACTCGTTTTTGGTGATCACCATTCCATCTGTTGTATGCTGATAGCCAGCAGAAACAATGGCAGACACTTTGTTCATACATTGTTTACATATACAATTTTCTTTTGAATATTTTATCAGCTTTAATATATGATTGTTTTCAGTATATTGTTTTATAATTGGAAAACAAATACTTATTTTGTTAGGGGAAATATATATAAACTTTACATTGAAGCATTTTGAACACCTGTCAGACAGCTGCTGACATTTATTCCTCCATAAATCTGAAGATATTTAGCTTGACAGAGGTTTTCAAGGTTTGACTTAATTATCCTAATTAATATTAAATTTGGAATTTTGCTCATAAATAAGCATTCTCTTTTTATATATAAATTACATAGGGAGGCATTCCCTACATTTCAGCTAACCACATGGCTTATTTATTATTTGTCATTTGTGTAAATGTTGATTTGTCATCAAAAAGGTAAGTGTTAAATTTAGAGAAAACAGTGCACAGATGAATATGTGAAACTCAGCTTAGTGATATCAAAGATGTTGAGGCACTGTCTTTTAGTTTTAAATTTAGTTCATTTGTAAATGAATCATTTAACCTTGGAAAAATCGTCATGCATCTGCCTTAATGGTAAATTAAAATAACCCCAGCTCTAAAGAATTAATTAAAATTTGTTACATGTTTTCTAGTCCAAATGAGTGAAGTTATTGAAACATCTAATTATTTGTTTCAGATGAATAAGCTATTAAAATGATGTTTGGTAGCTAAAAATATTTTATTCTTTTCTAACTTATAGATACATTGTCTCTAATACCATACCACTCTCTTTGTGATGCTTTTATCACCTCCTGTTTTCAAGTAGACTTATAAAGAGCCAGGTGATCTAAGCAGCTTGGATCGTCATTGTTTCTTAGGCAAATAAAGTTCTTAAAAAATAATAAAACAGAAAAAAATAGGAATGTGTGAAGATCTGGAGCAAGTTTCGAACTTTCATTTACTTTTAGTAGCTTAATAATTGGAAAAGGAAGCAGAATTTGGAATTGAACCCTCGATTGATCATTTGGAACTTCTAGACAATGTATCTGTAACTTCTAAAGCACATACTTGTTAAATAAAATTATTCCTTCTTCCACATGCTGTTTTCACCCTGCTGCTTTATTTATTTTGTTTCTAAAATAGTGTCAGCCTCAGTGTATATCATGAAATGAGCACCTGGTTATGAATACTTCTGTACATCTAAGATGGGGCAAGCTCTTTGAAAACTGAAATTTGTTGAATGAGCCAAACATGTTTTTGTTTTTCTTTTTTTTTGGCATCATTTCTCCCTCTTTTTAACTCCCCTTACATTTTCTGATTCATTCAGGGTTACCATGTTTAGGATATCTTGTCTATTGTGATCATAGGCAGTTATGTTGTCATGGTTACAGTTGCTGCCACTTCATTCAAACTAGAAAAAAGCCCACAGCTCTTAGCATTTTCTTGGTTGAAGGACTTGGTATTGTGAAGAGTTGTTTGTATTAAATCCTCTTATATTTTTTTCTTTGGAAATATTAGTGGTGTGATAAATGCTAAAGAAGCTTGCTATAATTTACTTTGGTAATGGATCGTGTTAGTCATTGTACCGTACAGGTCACCAAATTGGGTAGAATATAGTGTCAGTTCGAGGTATTGAGGTTTCCTTTCCATTGAGTTTAATTCTCTAGTTTGCTTGTTTTGAAATATAAGAATTTTTCATTTATGCATCACAGTGTTATAGTTTATTTAAGTATTCAAGTGAGAATAAGAGATTAGCTTTCTCATGATAATTTTGCTCATCTCTACTTGGAATTAAATTATTAGTTTTGGATTTGGCATACAAGAAAAATCACCGAAATGAGAGTTGAGATACCTGGGTTTGAGTTTTACAAACTCTGTCAGTTATCAGCTGTGTGATCATCAAGTCACTTCCCTGGACTGCTTTTTCAGAGCTTTAAGATGCTATAATTTCTGGGCCGGCCCCGTGGCTTAGTGGTTAAGTGCGCGCTCTCCGCACTTAACCCAGGTTCGGATCCCAGGCGTGCACTGACGCACCGCTTCTCCGGCCATGCTGAGGCCGCGTCCCACATACAGCAACTAGAAGGATGTGCAACTATGATGTACAACTATCTACTGGGGCTTTGGGGGAAAAAAATAAAATAAATAAAATTTAAAAAAAAAGATGCTATAATTTCATATTGCTTGTAACAACTCTGTTTTTTTGGCTGGAAATTGTTTATGTTGAGTTATTTAAAATTACTACAGGAATACATCAATGATTACCATTTAGTAATAAATGTACTTAATTTAAAATGAGTGTTTAGATAGTTATAAATACACTTATTTTAAAAATAGCACTTTAATAAAATATATACATAGTTATATAAGAAGGAATTTATAAATATAGAGAAATGTAACTATGCCATTTGTGATAGGATCACTAATTGGCATTATGCCTTATGATGCTAAGTGCAGTTTGAGTATGAAAAACTTCCAATTGAAATCATACCAGATGTTTGAAGATTTAAATTATTAATCCAAAATGGTAAATAATTGTATGTCTTCAAAAGAATTGAAAACATAAACTTGGAGCCTTCATGTATATATACTTCAAAAATTAATTCAATGCTTAGATAATTCAAAAACTAGATGATTCATTTGCTACTTCATTACCTAAAAGATGGTTGAATGAAGAGAAATATGGAAATGGGTGAAGGCCTTTTGAACATTCTTAGGTGTTTATAGAACTAAAATGAGTAATGTGAATATTTTCCCTTTAATTCTGATCACCTTATTGAAATACCCTGTATACATAAATTATGCAAATTGAAAAATAGATTACTTGAGAAGGGAACAGTAATTTACTCTTTTTGTCAGTGGTTTTGTTATTTGTATTATCTAGTGTCATCATTTATGAGTTTCAGTCTAACCACTTATTATTTCATTAAACAAATTTCTTGAGCCTTAATGTAATACATATTGTATTAAGTTTAATTGGGTCTAGATAGAGGAATATGACCAGCGTGGGGATGAGTTGTGTTAATGGACAGAAATTGAAGCATAAAGGACAAGAGCGTCACAGAAGGGAAAGATGAGTATAGAAAGAGCTTAGAACTTGTATAAATGTTGTCAACTGATGGCCTCATATTTTAATGTGTATATGACTTATTTGGGGATCTTGTTAAAAGGCAGATTCTAATTCAGTGTATTGTGATGAGCATGAGCTTCTACATTTTTAACAAACTCCCAGGGGATGCCAGTACTTATAAGCCATGATGGGTATTTTGAGAAGCAAGGCTCAGTACTGTTCTTTGGAGTTAAGAATAGATGTAGTGCCTCCATTTAAAGCCTTTTCCTGGATACAGTCTTACTTCTTCCTGATTCTTTCCATATTGTAATTAAAACATACTGATTGGCAGTACAAATGTAAATGAATACATAGTCTATAAATTTACTTCTTTTGAATGACTACTTTAGTCAACTCTTGGTTATGTAGATGAAGATTAAACTATGCGGTTAGCCATGTTATTAAATAGCAAAGGACTCGGTATTATGAAGAATTGAAATGACAGTAATTTAGGAAAACCTGGATGTATTTATATTGGACAGCAATTCTGTATAGAATTATTTAGTACCTACTCTAACTTGGGAATGTTCCTTGACATCAACAGTCAGACAAAGTAATTTATGAAAGTGATGCCTCCTTTCTTTTCCAATCTCTAAAGAGCAGTGGCATGCACATGGGGATTTTAAGTCTATAAAGGCTGTGCTGTGTGGGTGGAGATTTTTAACATCTTGGCTGCAAATACTATTGTACTTATATTACTTTTAAATGTTTGGATGTTGTCTTTCAAATGGTAGATGTGTTGTGAAATACAGGATGTAAATCTTAACTAAATAATTTTAAAATAAGTCATTTGTATCATGTTTTAGTTAGTTTTATTTCAACCAGGATTTGGGGACATCTGAGATCTTTTCCTCCCAATTTTTTTATGGCTTTTAAAAATTGGTTGTTTCTTTATGTTACTCAAATATTTTTGCACACACACGGGCATACAACAGATGTAGTATGAGTACAGGTTTAGCATTTCAGCTGCGGAAGTCATGCATGATAAGTTATGAAAATTTAAATGCTCTGTGTGAATCATAATTGTGTATGCAGTGTTGAAAAAATCTTTCAAACCGATTTTGGAGAACTTCTTTTTTCTATCAGGTAATTGTGTTATTTAAAAGTAAAGCACTGTAAAATGTATTTAATTTGTCATGTTTTTATTTTATGTGACATAAATTGTAACAAAGTGCAATAAAGCAATATAGCGTTAATTAGAAATACTAATTTTCCAAGTGCTTAACTTAAGCAGTAACATTTAACAGAGAAAATGTATTTTTATTATTAATTAAACATTAGATATTTTGTAGATTTTTTTTTTTTTTTTTTTTTAGTGATCCATAGGACTAACATTAATCTTCATTCCTGTGAAAGAATAACATGAGGTTGAAATAAGTTAAGCATTTTTTACACAGTCTAAACTTTGAGAAACTTTCTTGATTAAAATTATTTCTGTTTTCCTCATATCCTCATTTTATGTTTTGTTTTGTTTTCCCTTATATGGCAGGAAAGAGTTCCTAGAGAGAGAAGACAAAGGCAGTCTGTGTTACAAAAGAAGCCCAAGGCTGAAGATTTACGAACTGAATGTGCAACTTGCAAGGGAACTGGAGACAATGAAAATCTTGTCAGGTAAATTGGATGCCAAGACCTTGTCTTTAGGGGATTGAAGTTCCATCTTCATCATTTTCTTATCACAGATATAATGGGGAAAAAAAAAATCACAGTATAGGACCTTTCTCAAAATCTTTTTTAGCAGAAGCAGTAATTCAGAAACAGATTTCATCCACTTATTAACCTGCCACACATGGTTATTCTCTGGATTTGGCTGTAATTAAGAGTGCTAATCTGGATTTTGAACACAAGAGATTTAATTTTCTCTTGGCAAGAGACGTTGACAATCCTCTGTAGATAGAGGCCACAAAAATAATTTGATCTAAACTCTTTGTACTAAGATTATCATGTTTTATCTCATAAAACAATAAAATTACTAATCTCTGCTGGCATATTATAAAAGTTGAAGTTTATTAGCAGTAATAAGACAGATACTTTTCATGCACAAGAGCTTCATTAGCACTTCCTTACCATTTATCAAAACAAATGTGTTAAATGCTTCTCTCTTATGAAATAAAGAAAGGTGAAAAGATGGCCTAGATAGATTTTTTTGGTTTGTTTTTTGTTTGTTTTCTTCTTTGTTTCTTTGTTTTGTTTTGGTACTTTTTTTTTTTTTTTTTTTTTTATCAGACATAATGCTAACCAGGAATCTCAGCTGATGTTGCACAGTGGCTATTCCTGAGGGTCCAGACACTGCTAATTTTAGCCATTTGCCTCTTTGCTGAGATGAAGAAATTGCTCAAAGCCCTGGGTGAGATGGAGGAGTGGGTGGGTGAACAAAAGGAGACCTCATTTAAAAGAGATATCATTCTTTCAAAGGACGGTGACATAAAGAATCTTTTAGTATGTTAAGGGAACCCTTTCTGATTTCTTTCAAAAATCGTCTTTTGATAAAGTCCTATTAAATTAACTGAGGGCACAGAAATTAAATGTTTCAAAAAGAATAAATTGATAAAATATATATTAATACTGTTATATAATTTTAAACATTTGCTTCTAAATGATGTCATTTGTCATTAAAAATATAATTTCTATTTGTTCAATTCCTCAAATAAAGGCATACAGTTTTAAATTTTGAGTTTTTTATGCCATCATTGAAGAAGATAAGGAGAAGATAAAAATTCCAGTGAAGAAATACAAAGTGCTTCAACAAAGTTAAGAAAGTCTATAATATTTGGCCAGCGTTTTTTGAAGTAGTTTGTGTAGAATGTCATGAGCGCTCTCCTGTAGGTTAAACTCATTTAAATTTAGGGTAAAATAGTTCCAGTATCAGAAGATAGCTATGAATAATTCTGACTGCAATAAAATTTTCTTGAGTTATGTAAAAAAAGAAATCCCAAGCATAAACATAACATAATGGAGTACTTAACACAACAAAAATAAAAAAACAAAAAGAAAAAATCCATAAAGACAATCTTACATAATGAACAAAAATTCAATATAGAGGAAATTCCCTTAAAGTTGAGGGTGGCATTGTGGGGCATGATCAATTTGAAACAATAGTTAAAAACTTAGCTGGTTATTCCCTTTTTGATTATAGGAACATGTGTAAATATCTACCCTCTTATTTGTTTTCTCTAAGATAGTAGATTGATTCAGGCCTCTTTGCTTTAGGACCTATACGTTTTTACCAGATTTTTATTTATATATTCATGCATTTGAATGAAAGAACCTAGGAAATACAATTTTTATTTTAAAAACCGCTTTATAACAAGAGTGTCTCCAACACATCGTATTTTAGTTGTCTTTAAAAAACAGGTGCCATCTTTCTTCAATTCTTGATAAGATTTTTGAATAATATTAGCCTTTCATTTATTTAATTAGTTTCTGTTATAAAATTTTCATTCCTAATTGCATTATTGTAACATGCCAGTGTGTGGGATTTTGTGAAAGTCTTCTGGAAGGTAAAGATATTTTTGTTACTCTAGAAATGATGGCTATACAAAGTCTTCTTCCTTGGTTTTGCCTTTTTAAGAAGATAACATCACAGATTTTCTGCAAAGGTTTTAAAGAGGTAATGAAGAAGGGATTAAGCGTTTTATAAATATTATATATTAATGTTTTTGAGGACAAAATAAACTGGCTATAAAGCAATGCCATAAAGTGTTTTGTGGTTATAATGTGATTGTTCTATTAAAAAATATATATACATTCAGTTTAAGCACTATTGCTCTTGGATTAAAGAAGAATTTATTTTATACAGAATTTCATGTGTTTAAAAAGGTAATCTTATAAGCTAATATCTGCCATTTCCCGTAACATCTCTTTTATTTTGTAATTGGCACCATTATTGTTTGTAAATCCCCTCCCCTACTTTTATGATTAAGTTGCATCTTAAATATTATGTACACATGCTATTTTTTTTTAACTTTAATTTTAAGACATTTTAAATTAGACTTTATTTTCCCTAAAGATATATTTCAGTGCTTGGTCAGAGATATATTATACTTATTATGTATGTCTATTAGGTTCTCTTATAAAATTAAATTTCTTGGGTCATGATTTAATTAATCATCTTTTACTGAATATACTGTATTTATTTTCTCAAATTCCTTTGAACTAATGTACATGACTCAGCAGAACCTGCTGTTTAGCAGCTTTGATTTTGAAACCACACTTCTCTATGTAATTCAGGCTGTATACAGAATTCCTTCTTAATTATTTTCCTTGCTTTTTCAGTTATTTGTATATATGAATTTACACGTATTATTTTTTAATATCATTGGGAAATTGCGTTTAATTTATCAGTTAACTGCAATAGTAGGTTCCAACTGTTGTTTTCTGTTTCGCCTCTTAAGTTTTTCTCAGGTCTTTGCAAAATTATTTAGCATTTCTGTGTCTCAGTTTTTCCCTCTATTGTATGTGATCATAATCATACTGTGATCCATTAGGGACTTGGTGAATAATTGCTAAGTGATAGTAAATTCTTTTCTGTATAGAATAGTAGGGCAGTGGTATTATTTAGTAATTCAAAGGATACATATATGTGAGCTCTGAATTAAGACTTCCAATTGGTCAGTATGTTCCAGTACTAATAAATGCTTATTTTTTACCTTTCAGAGAATGTGCGTGTCCCGTTTTTGTATATAATTATTTCTAGAATGTGGAGGACAAAAAATTTGAATTTGTTGAAACATGTTCTCTAAAATGATTAGACTGAACTATTTCCACTAGACATGGGAAATACGAAAATTATCAAGATTGTAAAGAGAAAGATGGTTTACAGTATCTTAAGCATTTTTTTTTTAAATAGTACTTTCTTTTTTGCCATCTACTTTTTAAATTTAATCAAAAATTACCTGGGAGGTTTCCAATTAAAAATATATTTCTTTTTTTTTTTTTTTTTTTTGTGAGGAACATCAGCCCTGAGCTAACATCCATGCTAATCCTCCTCTTTTTGCTGAGGAAGACTGGCTCTGAGCTAACATCTATTGCCAATCCTCCTCCTTTTTTTTCTTCCCCCAAAGCCCCAGTAGATAGTTGTATGTCGTAGTTGCACATCCTTCTAGTTGCTGTATGTGGGATGCGGCCTCAGCATGGCCGGAGAAGCGGTGTGTCAGTGCGCGCCCGGGATCCGAACCCTGGCCGCCAGTAGCGGAGGGCACACACTTAACCACTAAGCCACGGGGCCAGCCCGTAAAAATATATTTATTTATGTTATTTAGTACAATTAAATGCTAAAGCCCAAATTAAAACTGTCTTGGAATTGTGAGGTCTTTTTAGGTAATTATCTCTTGTGATGAATGTTTTTTGTTGGACGTAATTATGGGCCCACTTAGTGATATCTTATTTGTTTTTGTTTCTGTAGTTCCTGGCACATTTAATACTCAGTAAATGCTTACTAAATGAATGACTACATAAGTAATGACATTGTTCTTCGCTGAATTAATAGAAAACTTTTACTATTATAATTTATTCCTAGAACAAATTGGTCACTAAATATAAGTATTTGATGAAGATGTTTAAAAAGCTTAATAAGGGAGGATTGCTTTTACGCTTTTAAGAATGGTGGATGAAATTTTTTTCTCTTAGGTAGGGAAATAGGAACCATAGATTTGAGATTAGTTGATGCATCTATGTAAAAGTAGAAATGAAGTGATTTCCTCTCCTTCAACATATTTGATTTTCAAAAGATAGATTTTAGAGGTAGGTGGGCCTTTTTTCTCTATAAGTCTTTATCAAGCCTTCAAATTAGGAATAAGACCAAACTTTTAGACCTCAAATTTTGTCTTAACTGTGTAAACTCAGTGTTGTGGCCCTTACTCAGAAACATTGAGGGTAGGAAATGATCTGTGAAGCTATTTTACTTTTATAGCTATGTCCACACTATTAAATACTTGCTGTATTCTCCTCCTCATTTGAATATATGACGACTTACATAGGTATTGAACTATTTTGGTTGTAAGATTAGGATGTCTGTTTGGTCTCTTAACAATGTTGTTAGCACTTTTATTTATTTCACATTTTAAACATGTGACTTCTGAGTGCTTCCTCCAAAACTAAATTTGATTGAATCCTAAGTTATTAGGTATACCAGCAAGAATTCATATTTATCAGATTTTTATTTCAAGTGTTAATCTCTTTGATTATTCAGATTTTTAATTTTTAATTATCTTTTCTGTTCTAACTAGTATGGAGGTTGGATTGTTTCCAAAGCTTGGATTTCTAATATTTCTTTCAGTTATGTATGGTAAAATGTGTCCTCTCATGTCACCGTGACAGCCTGTGTGATATACCTCTTTCTTTGAGTTTGGCTGCTGTTATCTCTGGTATATGTTTAACTTGGCTTTTCTCCCTTGAAAGTATAACCACCTTGAGGGCAAGGTCTGTTTTACTTCTCCTTATAGCTCTGTGTTCTTGCTCCAAGTCACTCTTGCTCCAAGAGCCCCCCGTGGTAGTTAGTGGCTTATACACTTCATAGGAAGTTGCATTAAGGAATCATTGGCAAGATATTAAATCTTCCTAATTTTTATGTTAAATTTAATATAAAAGGCAAAGATAAAGTATCATATCAAGAT